AACAATGCACTGCTAAACAACTATTGGGTCAAGGAAGAAGTCAAGAGAAAATTTTAAAAATACCTGGAGTTAAACAAAAAACAAAACACAACATACCAGAACTTATGGGACACAGCAAAGGCAGTCCTCGGAGGTAAATTTTTAGCAATAAACACCTACGTTAAAAAAGAAGAAAGATCTCAAATAAAGTCTAACTTTACAACTTGAGGAACTGGAAAAAGAAGAGCAAACTAAACTAAACCTACTAGAAGAAAGGAAATAACAAAGATCAGAACGAAAGTAAATAAAATAGAGAATAGAAAAACAACAGAGAGAATTAACAGAACCAAAAATTGGTTTTTTGAAAAGATCGATAAAATTGACAAACCTTTAGCTATGCTGACAAAGAAAAAAGAGAAGATGCAAATAACCAAAATAAGAAACGAAAGCAGAGACATTACAACTGACCCAAAAGAAGTAAAAAGGATCATAACAGAATACTATGAACAAATGTACTGCAACAAACTTGATAACTTTGATGAAATGGACAAGCACATAACCTACCTAATCTGACTGAAGAATATAAAATCTCAACAGACCCATAACAAGTGAAGAGATTGAATCAGTAATTTAAAAAAACAAAAACAAAAGAACTCCCAATTAAAAAAAAGCATTGGACCAGATGGCTTCACTGAGGAATTTTACCAAACATTTAGAGAAGAATTGACACCAATCCTGTTCAAAATCTTCCCAAAAGTAGAGGAGGAAGGAATACTTCCAAACTCTTTCTATGAAGCCAACATTATCCTGATACCAAAGCCAGATAAAGACAACACCAGAAAACTACAGACCAGTATTCTTTACGAATGTTGTTATTGAGTGCCATTGAGTCGGTTCCGACTCATAGTGACCCTATGTACAACAGAACAAAAAAAACACTGCCCAGTCCTGTGTCATCCTCTTGATAGTTGTTATGCTTGAGACTATTGTTGCAGCCACTGTGTCAATCCATCTCGTTGGGGGTCTTCCGCTTTTTTGCTGCCCCTCTTATCCTTTATGAATATAGATGTCAAAATTTTCAGTGAAATACTAGTGAACAAAATCCAATAGCATATTAAAATAATTATAGTGTTTGCTTTAAAATACATTTTCTTTAAATTTTCTAAAAGTAAGAAAAAAGTTGAAAGACAAATCTCTCAGAGTTCCTGGAATGGATGTAGTCTAACAGCTTTGCAATTAAGGGAATATTTTAATGCTTTAGTGTTTTTTTTGTATTTAATGTGGGACAGAATACCTCTAACACTTAGCCTGCTTTCATACAGCCTCATTTTTAGATTTGCTTCAATCTTGGTCATTTGTATTTTCCTTCCGCCAGTCACTGTATCATAGAACCTGAGTACCATGATGATAGAAACTAAAAGCCCACTTTTATTTTTTTCTGAAAGTGTCATTTATGTGTTTTAGGTACTATGTTTTTAGAGTTATCATTGAAAGTAAGTTTTATGGACATTGCAGTAATGTCAGGAGAAAAGTTTTGCAAATTCTTCATAATTGTTATAAAAACCCTATTACCTGCCTAAATTAAGAACTACTGGCCCACACATTTAAAGTATGATTCTAGTGATTCTATTCAACTTCTAGACTTTTTTTTTTTTTTTTTTGGTAACTTTTTATTTTGAAATAATTATAAATTTACAGAAAGTTGCAAAAATAGTTCACAGAGGTCCCTTGTATCCTTGACCAGTTTCACCCAATGGTTACAGCTTATCTAACTATAGTATGGTGTCAAAACCAGGAAATTGACATGAGTACAATGTGTGTGTATATTTCTATGCCATTTTATCACACGTGTACATTCATGAAATTACCAAAAAAAAAAAAAAAGGTATGAAACCACCACTGTAATCAAAATATAGAACTATTCCATTATTCCATCACCACAAAAATTTAATGGTGTCAGTATTTTGTCTGTTCAAGTGACATGAAGAAATTTTACCACTGTTTAACTCTCTTTACTTTCCCCAGTTTATAATTGTCTTAAATGTTTCCTGTATGTATCTTGATATCCACATCAGACAATTTTATATACTTTTTAGTTTAATCATCAAAAATGATTCAGAAAATTCAAAGGGAATAGAAGTCTTTCCTATTTACCCATAATTTTGCTCTTCTCATTGTTCTTTCTTTTTTTCTGATTTTCCAAAACTCCTTTAGCCATTCTTTTAAAACAGGTTTGCTGGTGACATACTCTTAGTTTTTCTTTGTCTGAGAATGTCTTTGTTTCTCCTCATTCTTGAATGATAATTTTACTGGTTGTAGATTTCAGAGTTGACAGTAGTTCTTTTCTTTCAGCACTTGAAAAATGTTGTGCCTCTTCCTATGGCTTTTCGTGGTTTCTGTTGTCATTCAAACCATTGTTCCTGTATAGGCCAAGCATTGTTTCTGTCTCACTACTTTCAAGGTTTTTCCTTTGTCTTTAGTTTTGACATGTTCAATTATTATGTGTCTTGGCATGAATTTCTTTGGATTTATCCTATTTGGAGTTCTCTTAACTATTAGTTTGTCTTTTGCCAAATTTGGGAAATTCTCAGTCATTATTTCTTCAAGTACTTTTTCAGCCCCACCTTCTTTCTCCTCTCCTTTGGAACTCTGATAACATGAATGTTCTGTCTTGTGTTGTAGTCCCTGATGTTCTGTTCTTTTCTCTTTTTTTTCTTTTTTCTTTCAGTTATTTTCTCTTTGTTGTTCAGATTGAATAATTTCCATGTAGCCTGTACTGACACTGCAGGTGGGGGAGGGAAACTCATTACTGCCAGCGGGCTTGAAAGTTTCTGCTCCCAACTTGGTCTTCTCTGATACACTGGCTGGGGTAATGGGGTGTGCCGCATTACAGCCAGGTGAGGATGGAAGACTAGGTAGGCTACCCAATAGACCTCTGCTGACAGGTATGGGAGTGGGGCCGTGGTTTTTTCCATGGAGCTTGGCTAGAGTATAGTGGTTATTGTCTAAAAGTTTTTTTCTTGCTAGGTTTCCCCTTTATTAGTCCTTTGTCTAAAGAGAGTAGGCTTTTCTTGGAGTTTTGTCTGCTCCCATTGGCATTTCCAAGATGCTACTATTTTGAGGTGTATGAGACAAAAGAAAACCCAAGGAACTCACTGTTGTGTTGTTTTAAAGCCCTGAGGTCCCTAGCTGATTTGCCTTTTCTCCACTTCTTGTATTTGCTTTATATGTCCAGAGTTTTTAGCTGTATTTAGCAGGAGGAATGGGGATAAGTATGACTAATCTATCTTGTCTGGAAACAGAAGGCCCCCTTTCCCTTTTTAATTATTTCCTTTCTTTTGTGCCCTGCAATGGCTTTAACATGGTATTAAAGTATATTGAAAGTGATTATTGACTAAGAATTTATATGTCTTCTCTTAACATAGTAGTTCAGTTATCTGTGATAGAGCCCATATTAATTTTTTTGTGGGTGACCATCAAACTATTTATTTTCCTTAGCTCAGTAACCTCTAATAGAAAACAAGTTGTCCTTACCCCTAGTTTCTTAGTATTAGATAGCAATGTCAAAATTTGCCAGCACTGTATTTCACTGGAGTCCTGGTGGTGCAGTGGGTAAGTGCTCAGCTATTAACTGAAGGATCGAGTTCGAACCCACCAGCAGCTCTGCAGGAGAAAGATGTGGCAGTCTGCATTCATAAAGATTTATAGCTTTGGAAACCCTATGGGGGAGTTCTGCTCTGTCCTATAGGGTCACTATGAGTTGGAATCGACTCAACGGCAGTGGATTTGGTTTTGGTCTTTCACAGATTGGGGCATCAGGGTCAGTAAAGAAATTAATTCTATAGCCTTGAAGCCTTTGAAATGGCTTTAGTTAGAATCCATACTCTACTATTACTTTATCAAATCTCTTTTAACATTTCATAAAACATCTCAAATTTTGTCACAGTAGAATTTGTGTATTAATAAATATATTACAAGAAATTATATGCAATCTGTAGAACCTACAGATAAAAATTGACTATTTTGCCACATACTCCCTTGACAGCAGTGGGTTTGGGTTTTTTGGGTATACACATGCCAGTCTATTTCCTACCCTTCCCCACCTCCATCTCTTCTCCCAGCCCTTTTATAAGCTTTTGTTCCTTTTAAAAAGTTTACATGTATTCGGAATTTTAGAGATGGGGAAAGAATAACGGGTATCTCAGTGACAGAACAAAAAAAAAGACCTTAGTGTTCCTGTCTCCTTGTATCCTTTTGCCAGTGATAAAAGCCAAAAAAAAACAAAAACAAAACCCAAACCCATTGCTGTCAACTCAATTCTGACTCATAGTGACCCTGTAGGACAGAGTATAAAACTGTCCCATAGGGTTTCCAAGGAGCAGCTGGTGGATTTGAACTGCCAACCTTTTGGTTAACAGCTGAACTCTTAACCATTGCACCACTAGGGCACTAACAAAATATTCCAGATTAATTTTTAAGACATTCATGATATCTAGGCATAGCTGAATAACTGAACACACAGAAAAATGCATCCCCCCCACAAATGGAGAAAGTTGAGACTCAATAGATTTTTTTCAGAATTATGCCCTCAGAAAAATCTAGATAGAAGCAATTTTATTTTTAGCATACATGTATTTAGGTTTTATGTTTTACAGATATATATATTTTTAAATTATATATGGGGCTGGGATTAGCACCATAATCTTTTTATTGCTTTAAGGTCTCATTTGAACCTGTCTCTAAGGCTCTGCGCATTATGTAATTATGCTCTTTTTTTAAATTATGACAGTTGGAAAACATATATAAAAATACAAAAAATTATAATGAATCCTCGTGTACATAATACCCAGCTTCAGCAATTATTAACGTTTTGTCAATCTTGTCTAATCAAACTGTTTATAACTTTTTTTCCTTGCTGGGGTATTTTAAAGTAAATCCCAGACATCATGTCATGATCATTTAATCATATATTTTGTCAACCCTAACAATTTAAATTTATACTTGAAAAAGCCAAAATTTACCGTATCTTGTTGTTATTCAACCTCAGATAATGTAGTGCTTTCATTTCCTGTATCCCAGGTGGTATAGATTTGAAGTCATTGTGATCCAGAAATAATTCTCTCAGAGAATGGTATGCCCCATAAAAAGAGACACGGTCCACTCCATTATCCACAAGTTTGTTAAATGACAGGTACAAGTATTCGAGGCCGGGCTCCATGTGAGCAAACACATAGCCAGGAATCCGTTCAATCTGATTCCCGATTAGCACTAGATGCAACAGAGACTTTGGTAGATATGAGGGGACATGATAGAGCTTGTTGTAGGAGAGATCAATTGATTCCAGATTTCTGCAGCAATGAAAAAAGTAAACAGTAGGGAATATCAGGGTAGTGACCATAAATGCCAAATTTTGACAAGACCAGTTTTGGTGCTAGTCCATTTTCTTAAAAGCACTCAGTTTGTACTAATGATTCTAAATACAAGCTTGGGTGTTTAACCAGCTTGGGTTGTTGGGCTACAAGACTCATATTTTTACCAGTGCACTATAGTACCTCTCCAGGTACTTTGAGTTCTATTAGAGAGGAGTAACAAAGCTCAGGGGAGAAAAACTCTGAAATCTCCAAGGGTAATGGTGAGGCCCAAAGAGGTCCTAGAAATATCTCTAAGGTCAAATGGTTGAATCAGAAATGAAATCCATGTGTCCCATCTTACCTCAAATTGCCTGTCTCTAAAATTGTCTCTGGTGCAGGAAGGAGGGATGTTTTTTGTTTGTTTAGTTTTTGTTCAACATTTGGTTTAATGACCTGGCACATCTAGGACCTGGGATAAAACTAGGGTATCTAGAAAACATTGCTAATTGACCAGAAAGTCTGGGAAATGTGGAGAATGACCTTGCTTGTTCAGGAACCTCACCCTGAGTCCCCTAGGACTTTTGTCCCATTCTCTCTTTTCACCTGACGAAGACTATGCTTGTCTATGCACAGGGCACTCAATCACTCCCTTCCACTTCCTTGCCCTCCCTGAACTCACTTCTCTCCATCTTACTTCGGAAAACCAAGTGTCCCCATGCTATGCTACTCAGATGATGATACATCATTCACATGAACACACACATAGTTCCAGACCCTCTCTGTTAGGGGAAGGGGAGAGTTGCTGCCAGGGCCTGAGTCAGATTTCATGGTGCTGCTTGTCCTTTCCCTCTCCCAACATGCATGGCTCCACAGCCTGGCCCCTTCACTCAGTGCTGCAGCCTGGCACTGTGGATTCCTATCCAGAACAAGGGAGTCTACTTTCTGCTTCCACTGTTGGACCAAGCATTCTTCAATTTACTTTTTAAGATTTGAAATAAATCATTTGGAGAAATGGGCAGTGTGGTGTAGGAGAAAAGGCTTGGGCTTTGAAGCCTGGTGCTTCCACCTAATGATTAGGATGATGAACACATGGATAGCAGCTTACTTACTATGTGCAAGGGATAGCTCATCTAAACTTCATGACACCCTATGAGGTAGACATAAGCTAGAGTGGCATTTTACCACTGTGGTCTGACCTCCAGGGTCAGATTGCTAGGGTTCCAGTTCTGGCTGTACCTGGCACGTGGTAGGGTAGTGCCACTTACTGGCAAAAGGCAGTAGTAATGATAGTAGCAGTAGTGGTAACCATAGAAATCCTAACACTAATAATATAATTAACAGTTTTGGAAGCTCCACAAAGTGGTTGATTAAATGGGGTGGGGAGGGGTTAAACAAAAAAGGGCTGTCTTTCAGAGCCCCCTCAGTGTATCACCGTCCCCTCCTTCACTTACCACTCCCAACTTGTATACTCTGTTAAATATGAGCAAAGGGAAGAATTAGGCTAAGCCAGTCCAATTGTAGTATTTACTTACTCTTGATTTATCCAAGCTAAAGGAGCAATTCTATTTTCTTCAATTTTATTATAACGAAGCACAATGACATTTATCTTTCTGGTATGATTGAAACAAATTTCAGTTATTTCTTCAATTTGGTTATTTTCCAGGTATAATTCCTATAATTAAGAGAAAAGACTATTATTTTTCTTCCTTTTATTGATAAATATATTCAATTTCACAGAGACTAAAATAGCTAATGTGATTGATTATTCTCAGTGTTATCAAAAGTTTCATTTGCTGCTCTTTCAAGTGAATTCATATTTTTTAAGATGTCAAATTTTCCTAACTAATTAATAAAATTAAACGCACTGTTTGACATGCTTATGGAGTTAAGTAAATTTTATTTTTTTAGCCAAACAATGTTGCAAGATACAGCATACTATAATAATTTTATAAAGCTTTCTAGTTTACAAAACTTTTTCACATAAACTTTCTCATGTGGACTTCAAAACTCTGGAAAGTTGGTAGAAAACTATTATCTCCATTTTACCAGTAGAGAAAGTCAGGCTTGGAGAGATTACAAGACCTGCCTAATGTTACATGATTAATACATGAGAGAAACTCATCCTAACTCCAGCCTCCCGCTAACTACCATGCTATCTATGTATATTTTTAGGCTGAGTTTTTTAGACTGACTTATAATTAATTTAATTAAAATCTAATTAAATTAACACTACGATGAAGTTTGCTAGAATTATTAGTAGCTTTGGAAACCTTGGTGGTGTGGTGGTTAAGTGCTACAGCCGCTAACCAAAAGGTCGGAAGTTCGCATACACCAGGCGCCACTTGAAAATTGTATGGGGCGGTTCTACTCTGCCCTGTAGGGTCACTATGAGTTGGAATCGACTTGACGGCAACAGGTGTTTCCTATAGGTAACTGCCTTCAAATTAAATTTAGTTGGCGTTAGTGGAAATTTTTCATTAAAGGATTTGAGCTACAAAATTCTCCTTGTACTCTTTTTGGAATTCATAAGTAGAATTGGCATATATCTTCAATGTCACTTTCTATTCATACTACAGTGATTTCCCCTTTTTTGTCACTTAATTTTGGTATTTGTTAGAACTAAATAAAGAAATTTCCAGTTCTTTGCTTTTACCTTCATAAGTACTGAGGGGATTAAACTAGATTAGTGGTTCCCAAACTTGATTGTACATTAGAATCATCTACTGAGCTTTTTAAAAGTATAAATTTCAACTTAAATGTACCTCAGTGAGAGACTAGTTAAATAAATTGTGGTAAATCCATCCATACATTGAAAACTCTGCTACTATAGGAAAGAATGGGAAGGTATTTTATGTATAGATGTGAGACTGTCTTCAAGATACATAGGTAAGTGGGGAAGGCACGGAGCGTGATCTTTAAGAAGGATTTATAATGTATGCACGTGCGTGTGTGTGTGTGTGTGTGTGTGTGTGTATGTGTGTGGAATTTCCTAAGCTACTAAGAGTGCATCCTTTGGAGAGAGAAACCAGGGACAGGAAGTTCAAACGTGGATAGAGAGGCATTGCTTTTGTATTATTCATATTGTGTGCGTGTGCGTGTGAGTGTGTTTTACCATATGCATACCTTATTTATTTAAAATTTTAATTTTTAAAGAAATTATAAATTTCTGGCCCCACTTTCCAAAGAACCTGATTCAGCATGACTGGGATAGGTCCAAGGACTCTGTGTGTCTTAACTCATGTGATTCTGATGTAAAGCCAGGTATTGGAACCACTGATTTTTAAGATTTTGATAAATTCCATCTTTTGATTTGGAAATAGGAAGAAAAGGAAGAAGGGCAACTATGGCAATAGCATAAGATCAAAAGATAACTTCTAGTCTGGGTCACTGGGGCCATAGCCATTGTAAACTCCATCCTCATATCTGGCTGAATGATCATATGGTATGGCAGAAACTGACTCAGATAAGGAAACTTGGATTCTAGCTGGGATCTGCCAATATTTATAGACTCTCTGGGCCTTGGTTTTCTAAATGCATAAAATGAGGAATGTTGACACACATCAGCCAAAGACCACCATTAGTTAACAAAGTCAGGTTTATTACTTGCTGTAGCAAAGGAGACCACACACCATGGGTAACCACAGGGCATCTCCAAAGGGGTGAGTGAAAAAGGGTTTAGGGCTTTGGGGTCTGGAATTAGTCATAGGACTGTCTTGGTATTAGTCAAATTTTGTAAGCTGCAGAGTTGCTATAACAGTCCTTGGTCTTCTCTCTGGAACACCTGAGTCCATGCAGATTAATTACTGTTAGATCAGTTTGTCTGTGGTTTTACCTGAACAAACTGATAGTTTAAAAAAGTTTAAGCTTAGTGATAAACATCATGATTTTGGTTTGGTACAGTTTAGTAACTATCTTGTGAATCAGGGTACTTTTTGCAAGTTGTGGTTTCAGTTTCAGTTCTTAGTTCCCCTTTCTCATTCTCCCCTAGAGCTGCTAGCAGGACCATTTTTCACTTAATCAGTGGTCTCTACTAGTATTATAATTTTGACTGATAATTTTATATTGTTTGAAGAGGAAACAATGTTCAGATTATAGTAAATTCTGTATATCAGCACCCATACACTACGGAGTTTAATGTACATCACAACAGTCTTTTAAAATATGCTACTTGTTTGTTTTGTTGTAGTGTACTGCATTTAAAATATAAAACATTTAAGACATAAGAAGAAAAATATTGATACCTCAATAGAAGCAGGAAGATTCTGTGGTATAGTCCTAAATTTATTTTTTCCTAGACGCAGGTAGTATAGGCTCTTCAAAGGTTTGAAAGCTAAAGGATTGACGCTGGATTCACTGAGACTGTTTCCTTCCAATTCTAAGGTAACCAACTGATTTAAGTCTATAAAAAATACAATTATTGGAATATTAGGATAATGGAAAAACCATGCAATTTCTATAACCTTTCAAAATGTCATATGAAATATTCGATTTATTTGGAGGGCAGATTTTGTAGCTTCCTTGTATCCCCCCCCCCGTAGAGCCCTTTTCCAAGCACGTTGTACATCCTAAAGGCTCAATTAACTGGAACTAAATGCATGGTCCAGTGGAGTGACAGTCCTGTAAAGGAATAAGCATAGTGCTATGTGGTAGAAGTATACATAAGGAGCAGCAGCAAGATAGAGCGGATAGCGATGGTGATATTTTTAATTCTTTTGGTCAAAGGAAGTTAAGAGAGAGACAGGAAAAAGAGTCAGGAGAATCACCACAGAGGCAGTGACAGCTGATTTGGGATAAGTGGAAGGTTATTCTAAATATTTGTAAAGACATGTAGGTATGAAATGGCAGGATAATAGGGAATGATTTTGGGTTTAACACAATGAGTGATTCCTTCTTCTAGGACATGAAAAGGAGTATTCTTTCCTTGCAAACCCTTAACCTCTGGATAAGGGAGTTAGAACAATAAAGCAGAGCAGTGAATTCCCATCATAGTTATTCAATTATTGGCATAGAGTACAGCAAATAGAAGTTTAGAAAAGAAGATAATTAGAAATTCTCCTCACTTTCCTCTGAGCTACCAAGAAAGACTTTTAATACAAACATATATTTTTCTGACCTCAGGAGTGGTATGACCCAGGTAAGTAGAAAGCTTAAAGAAGAATTGACAGCTCAGCAGTGATATCCAGAGGCATCTAATTCTGATGTTTCAGGGTGTGACTTTGTATTTTTTTCAGTGATCAAGATTCCCAGGATAGGGGAAGTTTTCATATTCAACTATAAGTCACAGGCATTGCACTATATGCTGTATGCAGCTCAGCTCCTTCTCTTAACTGTGTTAGAGTCCAATTAGAGAAGCAAGAGAAAAAGACAGTTCCATCAGATAATAAATGCTGAAAGATTACAAAGAGGAGACAGCAGTGTAGATTTGAGTAGTTAGAGAAAAATTAATGGAAGTGGGACTAGAGCTAGGCTTTTAAGGATAGAAAGATTTAGATAGAAATGGAAGGAAATTCCAGACTGAAACAACAAAGTGAACACATGCAGGTTAAGAATGCCATGGATGTGCTTAGGGGGGAGAAAAGAGACCAAACCTGGAGTGGGCTTGGGTGATTCATATGGAACTAAACTGTGGAGGCTATTGTACCCTGGGCAGCCTAGCTTGGCTTTCATTGCCTCTGAAAATTTGAGTAGGGGAATGGCATGACCAAAGCTAAATTTAAAAAAAAGATTATTCTGGTGGTATAGTTTAAGATTGAAGGGCTAAGAGACAGGAAGCAGGGAGGCCAGCTAGTAAACTGTGATAAGTGGCTCTAATTCCTTTATATTCTCTTAAATTTCCAAAACTAAAAGTACTGAGAATCCAGGGTACTTATCTAGTACATAAGTTGAGGTTTTGAAGTGTAATAGAAATTTTCCTTTGAAAAATAGATAATAGAAGAGGACTGATCATCATTACAAGACCTCACAGAGCAAGAAACTACATACAACACAAATTCATGATATTCTATATTACTTTGCAGTTGTTCTCTGTTATTTACATATTGTATGTGTAGGCAACATAAGGTAACAGAAAATAGTGTGGAGTGAGAGGAGGTTTCTTGTAGGTTAGACATGAGGTAGATGTGGGAAGAAGGATTCATTTGCAGAAAATAGGCAGGAAGTCATTCCACTGGTGGCGGGTTCATGGGTATTGACAGACATATATAAGAACACCAATCATGTCAGTCTTCTTATTAGATAACAACATATAATCATTGCTAGAGAGGCCTCAATGATCGTGCGTTTTTATCTGTTTTAGTCATTAATGAAAACAGGAAACTTTGGAAGCATGTGCAGTTTCTCCTGTTCTCTCTCACTTCTACCTTTTATGCCCCTTTTCCTCATATTTAATGACCTGCCTTTTGTCCTCACTGGGTATGCAAATCTCATCCAGTCCCTCTCCTACTTAAAGGTCTTCGGTGGACTCTGCATCTCCTGCTGGATCAATTTCAGACCCCTTAGCACAGCACGTAAAACTCTTCCTTATCTGGTTCCTGCTGTCTTTTCACACCCATCTCTTGCTATCCCCCACGTCATGCACAGAACTGCATGCAGTCCCAGGGCATCCCGAATCTTTCATTTCTTCACTGCTTAGTATATGCTGTTTTCTCTCCCTGGAATGTGCCTCTTCCCCACTTCTCTGGAACTGCAGTCTGAAGGGTCATAAGAGAAGACTTGTCACGAGAGAAAGAACAGAGGAACTGCAGGCCCAGCAATGCCCAAGCCAAGAGCTTCCACACAGAAGGAGAATAGAACCACAGCACTGGGTGATGATCTGTGCTTGGGCTCACCCTTCTCACTGCCTGCCGACTTGCCAGCAGCTGGAACAATCAAGAGAGAACGCAGCACGTGAGGGGCCAGCACTAGAGCAGGATTAAGAACCTGGCACCCCAGTACCTGATTGTCCAGAGGTAGAGCAGGACTGAGAACCCAGCACCTGAAAGGCCAACAGTAGAGCAGGACTAAGACCCCAACACCTGAGGGGCTAGCACTAGAGCAAGACTGAGAACCTAGCACCCCAACAACCTGAGAGTCCAGAAGAACTAGAGCAGTACTGAGAACCTAGCACCTGAGGGGCCAACACTAGAGCAGGACTAAGAACCTGGCACTCCATCACCTGAGAGTCCAGAACTAGAGGAGGACGGAGAACCCAACACCTGAGGGACCAGCACTAGAGCAGGACTAAGGACTTGGCACCTCAGGGGCCAGCATTAAAGCAGGATTGAGAATCCAGCACCTCAGGGGCCAGCACTAGAGCAGGACTGAGAACCCAGAACAAACAAAAGAGGAGCCCTCAGCTGCACAGAAGGGAGCTTTCTGGGCTAGATGACAACAGAGAGCCTTCTTCCTGGCATCTGAACTGTGCGGGTTGGAAGCCTCTGTGGTGCTTGGACTTTGGAGGCAGGAGGGGAGGGGAATGAGAGGAGACCAGTTTACCCTGGATGACAATTTGAGAGGTTGAAAGTAGTGGACACATTTGTGTGTGAGGGAAAAGATAGAGAAGCAGTTCGTGGATGTTTGAGGGCACCTTCAAAGCAAGACATTCATATTGTATAATGATTGTTTTGAAGATACAGCTAAGAATGTGATCTTCACATTCAGCTCAGTAGCGTATTTATTTTAAGTTATATGTTCTCTTTGGTTTCTGTTTAACCCAGCAGATAGAAGTTGACTTTTCTAATGTCTTTTCCATATGACAAAGCCCATCAAAATTTGCGTTTATTAATGTTTTTCAGGTGTACCCTGAAAACCATCTGGAAATTGAGTATTTCCATAACTATGTAATCCTCAAATTTGGCAGTTTTCATTGTTATTGTTCTTTTCCCATCATCAGAAGTACGTTGTTCCTTTAAACCCTATGAAGTTTTTTGGAAGTAGAAGGAAATAACTGAATTGGTTTATTCCTTTAAAGACTTGATTTATCAACATGAATAAAATAAATAATTTCAAATTAGGTAAACAGAAAGTATTGAACATTATATTCCATGAGCTATGTTAGACTGTGTCTTAGTTATCTAGTGCCACTATAACAGAAATACCACAAGTGGATGACTTTAACAAAGAGAAATTTATTCTCTCACAGTCCAGGAGAATAGAGGTCTGAATTCAGGGTGCCAGCTCCAGGGGAAGGCTTGCTTTCTCTCTGTGGGCTCTAGGCTAAGGTCCTTGTCATCAGTCTTCCTCGGTAGTGACCCGGGGTCCAAAGGACACACTATTCTCCTAGCTCTTGTTTCTTGGTGGTATGAGGTCCCCCTGACTCTCTGCTTGCTTTTCTCTTTTGTATATCAAAAGAGATTGACTTAAGATACAACCTAATCTTGTAGATTGAGTCCTGCCTCATTAATGTAACTGACTCTAATCCTGCCTCATAAACATCATAGAGGTAGGATTTACAACACATAGGAAAACCACATCAGATGACAAAATGGTGGACAATCACACAATACTAGGAATCATGGCCTAGCCAAGTCAATACACATTTTTGGGGGACACAAGTCAATCCATAATAGACTGTTAGGAAAATTAAAAGAAAAATGAGACAGTCTCTGTTTAAAGAACTGTATATCTAATCAAAGACATTAGCTAGTGTAAGTGAAAAACTCAATGTAACAATACCTTTTTTATACAGAGTTCACAATATGACACCTTCAATCATCCAAACTTGGCAAAGAAACAAGTGTAAAAAAGCATCAATTCAGCAGTATCAATCGTACAGAATATAGATGCAACTTCGCTAGAACCTGTTCACTCAGACAGCCAGTCCGTGGTGATAGCAGTGTATACAAATGCATTTTGTTCATACTTGGCACACAGTGTGAATATAGCAGTATTTCACTGACCTAAGAGTGCTGGAAGTACCAGTGCAAGCCCTCTCCAACACAGCTTTCAAACTAAAGTTACTACCATAAAGTTTATGCACTGAAGTTTCTGTACTTTTATTGTAGGATAGCATCTCAGCCTCTTATTTAATTCCCATTTACTCATATCTTATACATAATTCTCATGTGCTTGGTTTTAGGTTCCAGCATATGACAAATTAAAATATCAAAATGTATAGAGACAGGGAGAGTTGTGGGTGGAGTATATTTAAGAGTGATAGAGGAGATTCAATCGACAAATTTTAATAAGTGCCTCTTATGATCAAGGAACTGCCTTAGTCACCATCTAAGGAAATAAAACAGCACAAACATAAATACAGACGCAACATTAAAACACATGGTAGTTTGGGAACTATTTGGTGTAACTATTAGGATATTATGGATTTGTAGTACAGTTATTATATTGTGGATGATGATAACCTGAAATCTTTGAGAGAAAATTTTATTTATGATAAGGGTACTTTTTGAGACAACAGGCAGCCTACAGTACATTTTAAGAAGTTCTGCCAGTCAACAGTTAAAATAAGTTTTATCAACTTTAGTGGTAAAATGGCCTAAAAAAATTTACTGGCTTTTCTTTTGTATCTTTTTACAATATTATACGTATTTATAGTACTGTAGATAAAATTTCCATTCAACAGTAGAAGAAAGGTTACATGGAAACTTGTAATGAAAAATCAGATGTTAAATACCTGATAAACTTTCTTCATTGATGACCTGAAGATTGTTGTCATTGATTTTAAGTTCTTCTAATGTAGATGGCAATTCTGAAGGAATCTGTATCAAATTGTTTTCATCTATATTCAGATGTATTAACTTCTCCAGAAGCTTTAAAAGCAAATATCAGTTACTCTTTTATCTGATCACAAATCTACAGGCGTGTATCTTATTTAAGGGTCAGTTTGAAGTAGTAAGTTAAGTCTCAGAAACCTGTATTGACTTAGATAGGCTTAGACAGTAACGTTGGGGCCACATGAGCACTCCCCATATTCACCCTGCCAGGTAGAATGGCCTGGAAGATAACTATATTTTATGACTTTGTATCCCACTACCCATATTATTAGTTATATCCCACTACTCATATATTATATCATATCATAGCATACTGTTATTATATAAGGTATCTATGAGTCAGAATCGACTCAATGACAATGGGTTTGGTTTTTTTTAACCCATATTATATAGCAGCTTTAGTAAGCAAGAGGAAGTTACTCTAGCCACTGGATAGGTCATACTTGCTAGATCTTAGGTTTTCACCTTAATAGCAACAGACATAACATTAATTAAATCATGCCATAATCTGTCATCGATGCCAACAATTAAGACAGTCATTTTAATCCTTTCAACCTACTTGTAGATCCCAGTTTCCTATCTATTCTAAGTAGGAATGGTGTCATAAAATAGCAGTAATTATTGTGGAAATTTTTCAAAATGAAGTTTAACAAATAATGCAAACCATTTGTATATGGTTGGTACCCAAATGATCATGATCGTCTGGAAAGCAGAGTCTCTCATGTGTACCTGTCTCTCATAGGCCAGCCTGCCCCGAACCAGCAGGGTAGAAAGCTGCAGTCGGGCAGTGTTAGAGAAGCCACATGGAGGGATTCCCCTATCCAGTGGTCATATATTCAAATTTCAACTATTTTGGAACAGGACAGAGAATCCCAAAACGAGAAAGGAGGTAACTTCTACAACATCTTCCTCTTGGGCAAATATAAAAAATGGACTCCCTAACCCCTAACACCAGCGTCGTTCTATCAGGAAAGTGGATAGATAGCTTGTGGCAGATACTGCTGGTCTGTGGCAAGCATGTGGACACCTCGAGTGTCTGGAGCTCACTTACTGCCACCCTAGAATCTGGATAAAAACCAGAAACTGGAGATAAAGGGGCCAGGGATTCAACCAAAGAGTGGTCAGAAGACCCAGAAGATTGTCCGAGGGAGTAAAAGTTTGACCTAGAGAGATAGAGCGTGTTTTACTTATGGCTTTTTAAAAAGCCATGTTTATGTGTACTTGTCTACACACACAAACTGCTCCTCTCTTGTTTCTGCCTCTGTTTCTCTGAAATTCCACTCCTCTCTTCCTTTTTGTTGTTGTTGTTGTTTGTTTTCAGTCAAATCTGTTTCTTTGAAGATCAAAGGTTTATTCTATGCTATTTCCTATTCTCTCTCTGTCGCTCTTTCTTCCCTGACCTATCCCCATGCTAATTTTCGTCTGAGTCCATTTGATTTTCCAGAACCCCCTCCAGCCGGAGTATTCCGTATCAGATTTTGCCCACTGCACAAAATAAAGACGCTCTGTCTTGCTGGCCTGAAAAATGTCGATAGAGTTTCCAAATGAGTTCTCCTTAATTCCCAGGAACTGCTTTACGGTTTAAGAAACCCTATTTCCACATGTTTTGGGCTACATGGGGAGAAGCTACTGCATAAATTCAAAACATTCTTTTTGTCACTGATGCTATTGCCTTAAAAATGAAGCATAGAAAAACTGCTAGAAATATGTAGAACAACAAACTATATTCAAGATAAAACTTGAGTGCAGTTTAGGGCACATCAGAGAGGAAACTTTTCCTAATTTAGGAGAAAACTATCAGCTATAGACCTTTTACTTTTTCTTCCTTTGCCCACCTCCAACCATAGCCAGTGCAAGTCTTATAGGAAAACAGGTTAAATATATTGTTATTCACAAATCAGATCAAAATGTTTTTACCTTGAATGCTTTGGGGCCTATGCCTGAAGAGGTGATATTATTTTTGCTCAGATCAAGCCTTTCCAAATTAGGTAATCCATTAAATGCTTCATCTGGAATGGAAGTGATGGAATTCCCTAGGACAAGCAGCAGTTTGTGTTATAGGTGCATGTGAATATATATATATATATAAAACTAGAGCTTTATTTGGAGTGGAAAATAGTACTCAGAAGAAGAATAGAATATATATGATATAAACAAATGCATGTTTAGAAAATATCAAAACTGGAACTAACTTGTTTTACATAGTCAAATTTTTCTCCCAAAGACTTGCTGTATTCTGGTACATCATGTTTTAGATAAAGCCTCTTGCTCAAAACAGCCAGATTGTGGTCTGCTTGACAGTTCTCTTAGCATTATGCATTTTACAGCAAAGATGTATTTCTGGAAGGTGTATAGAATTGATTTTTATATAGTTCTTCATATTTTCCCATGCTGGAAACGTGATGCTATTTTTATCAGTGAAATCTCAGGCATATTACTTACCTTCTCTGAGCATTGATTTCCTTCTCTAAATAAGAAGCTTGGGAAGATAATCTCTTCAGTCCCCTCCTGATCTAATGTTACACCTCTGTGATTTTTTTTGTCTTTGATTCTGTTCTATCTTCAATCTACAAAAGTTCTGTATGCCTAATTTTATGGGGGTTTGTGTGTGTGTACATGTGTGTGTATTTTTTACATTAGCCAAGTATAGAAGTTGATGATTTTAAACACAAAAAACTGAGCTTACCAGAAGTGGTAATACTATAAAAACCTGGTGACCTTGTAAAGTCAAGATTTGATACTGTGACCAACCATGGGTCATTTATCTTTCGTAAGACTTTAGATTTCATAAGTCAGGTTTCTTTAAAGCTGAGTGCACCTGACACACAGGCCAAAGGAGCAGGGAGCCTTGTTGGAGCCAGAGGATCACTAGGCATGGGGCCTGAGTCAGGAGAGAGCATGAAAGCCACAGTCAGTTTGACACTGGGAATGTCCTCAGTCTGGCCATTCCTGGTCAAAAGCATTGAACTTTGTCTATGGAGTATTCATCTCAGTGATAATACATTTTAGAGTTGAAAAATGTCAGTGGGCCCCATTCCCTTCAGTTTCACTTGAGACCACTTCCTTATAAATCACTTGCACCTAAATTATCGTCTCAGGTTCTGTTTCTAGGGACCTTGAACTAAGTCAGTGGTGAGCACAGTGGCAAAAGGAGTCACCCTCCTCCTGAAATGCACTCTGAACCCCATTCAGACTCTCACCCCTACATCTTCAGGTCACCCCTGGTATGGGCCTTGTCGTCCAGATGAATGCCCAGGCACATCCAGTCTGGTCCAACTTCCCCTCCAGCCAGCCTTAGACATACATCTGATCATGACATTTCTCCATTCAAAACCCTCCAGTTGATCGCATAAAAACATGGGCAAAAGGTCTGAGCCACTGCATACCCTAGAATGGCTAAAATGAGGGTAGAAACAACTAATAATACCAAGTGCTAGCCAGTGTATGGGGCAGTGGAAACTCGTCTACGTGGCTGGTAAGAAGGTGCAGCCACTTTAGAGAAGTGCCTGGCAGCTTCTTATATAGTTAAACATACATTTACCATATGACCCAGCAATCCCACTCCTAGAGAAACAAAAACTTAGGTCCACACCAACATTTGTACATGAACGTTTATAACAATTCTATACATAATCACTCCAAATTGGAAACAACCAAAATGTCCCCTGGTTACTGTGATCCATCCATACAATGGAACATTACTCAGCAACAAAGGAGAACGAACTACTGGTATACACAACAACATGGACGAATCTCCAAATTACTATGCTGATGAAAGAAGCCCAACTGAAAAGGCACTGTCTGTGTATACGACATTTTGGAAACGGCAAAACTATAGGGACAGAAAACAAGTCAGATATTCCCAGTGAAGGGAGGGACATGAGAAATTTGGGGTTGGGGGGAGGGGATGTTCTGTATCTTGGTTGTGGTGGTGGTTACATGACTGTATGCATTTGTCAAAACTCACTGAACTGTATGCTAAAAATAAGCTTTACTCTGCAAATTATACTTCAGTAAAGCACACTTTAAAAACAAAAAAGGTCAATGGAAAAGTCATGATTTGATTTGGAGGAATTTGCTTTATACCTAACTATTCAGCATTAAGCTCCTACCATCTCTTGTGCAGAGTTTATTTATATGTTTGAAGATCATGAAATTAGTCTGTTCAGGGTTAATTTATATTATTATGAAATTAAAATACAATGTTCTTAGGACCGTCAGATGTCATTTACTTTTAAAGCACAAAATAAAACAGAAGTCAACATCTCTTACCAGCCAGCTCCAAACTTGTTATCTCTGGTGCTGTTATTGGTGGTATCTCTGTGAGCTCCACATTTATGCAGCTGATGGTCTTATAAGACAGAGAGCACCTGCTTGGCAGAGGCGGTGTGCCTCTAGGAGGAGCAGGTATTGGGAATCGAGAGGGCATTCTGAGACCATCTCCTCTGACAGCATCTTCTTCATCTTCCTCTCCTTCCTCTTCCTCTTCCTCTCCTTCCTCTTCCTCTTCCCTTCCTTGATTTAGACTTTGATATGCCTGCCCCTCCTCCTCTTGAGATCTCTGCTTTCGCTCTTCCTCTCTGCTCTCCTCCTCATTGTGCAGTCTCCCCCGATCTTGAGGTCCAAGGTTTTTTTTCTTTTGCTGCATATCTTCATCTTCTTTAATTTCTTCATCTTCCTCTTTCTCAGATTGAAATGCTTCTTTTCTTAATACTTGGTCCATTTCCAGCTGGGTAGGTATAAGTTGCTTATGAAGTAAAGTGGTAGGTTCTCTTTGTTCTGAAGAATCACCAGAAAATTCAGTTCTATCATTTAATGCTATACCACTGAACAGGGAATAAGAGACTAATAGCCAGGCAAAAGGCAGTAGCAGAGGCAAGTTGATGATATTAATAAAGGGAAAAATAATGAAAATAAGCTTAGTAAATATTATTCCCTCCAAGTATTTGAGTGCAATTTAAAGCTGCAGTGCATCTTGAAATTTTTGCTTGGGAAGTTTTAATAGTAACTTAATTTCTATTATTTTTTAACATCTCTTACAGACTTTTTTTTACTTTTGGCCTCTGGGTCTTAATACTTATTTTTACTAAAATAGCATGCTGCCTTATGACTAAAGAGGGAATAATATTGCCACATGATGCGAAATGGTAAGCAATCCTATTGTGAAGTTACAATATAATCAGATGTGATACCTTTATAATAGATACTGTTCAGTTAATTAGGGTTATTGGTAATGTAAGAATCTATAGATTGTCATCAGACATAAAAATGTAAAACATAAGTATATTTTACTTGCTTATAGTAATGAAATCAGCTTATGTTTATAGATTTACTATTATTTTTATCTGATTTTATTTCTTTCACCTCCATAAACCTAATAGTATACTCTGGTATTCAGAAGTATAAAAAGTTCTCCATTTCCCTCCTAGACTCTACTTAAGTCATGTTTACTGCCTGAGACTTAGCAGAGGCTTAGTGGACTTAGTGATGGTATTTTACCTTAGATATATGCACTGGAGTGCTTATTATTCTATGATGATGGGAGAAAAATAGATAATAGTAGAGAGTTAGTCTCCTTTTATACTAAGTCATTATTATTTTTGGCAGAAAGTAGAGAAGACATGACAAAGCCTGGAGTTCAAACTCACTGTCCAAATGAAGAGCTCTAGGGAGAATTGAGTTCACAGTTGGATAGGTTTTCTTCCATCAAAATTTATAAATTTATTTTATTATCTCCCTGCTTTCATTTAATACTATATGTGAACTAGTCCAATAAAGAAATTAGAAAATACAATTATTTGAAGAAATTTCTTGATAGCAATTCAGTATGTATTATAACACCTGTGAATTACAGTTTCACATCTCTACTAGAACATGCAAAAAGAAATAGGAAAAAATTAGTGAAAGAAAACTAATGCTGTCATATTCAAACATTTAAAATCCTTCCTATATATCCAAGTTTATTGTTAAAAAATAACCACAGCATTTCAAGAATATTTCATATCCTTTGAAATATGTCTGAAAATTTCTGAATCTTGTCTTTAATCCCTTGTGTTTCATCCCAAAGAATCAGTTTCAGTAAACACTTTAATTTTCTAACATTTTTTTAAAAGCATAATACCTTAGTGAAATAATTAGTAATATAAAGCAAAATACAATTGCTAAATATTCTAATTGTTCTTCCTAGCAAGAGACTTTTGTAGACATCTACCCTTGTGGTCATCCTGTATGCATGGGAATAATTTACCTTAGAGACAATAGAAAATGTTCCTGTCCCTTCCCATCATTAATGATTTAACAAATATTTATTTGCTTATTTTCATAAGACATTGGCTAGTCTTTTCTTGGAATATCCATAGATAAAGTAAGATATAAGCCTGACTCCCATGCAATCATTTGGTAAGAATTAGTGAACAACCAATAAAACCGCAGGGTGCCACTAGAGACCACTGCTCCTGGGCCATGCTCCTTTATTACCCTTAGATAATCCGAGGAATAATGGCCCAGAAGTTCCTGCACTACTTTTGAGTGGTTGGAGCAGACTGGAGAGGTGTGGCTTCATTCTCATTAGATGGAAACCACTCCTCCTTTGTTCACTATGAATTCTGCACATCTAAAATGAGGATAATGATTGTACTCATGTTGAGTTGGGTTTAGTGAGATAATGCACATAAAGCACTAAGCAGAGATCCTAACACATAATAAGAGCTCAGTAATGTTATATATATGTGTGTGTATCAACACCTGTGTATGTATATAGGAGCCCTGGTGGCGCAATGGTTAAGTGCTCAACTGCTAACCAAAATGTCGGGGGTTTGAACCCATCAGTGGCTCTGCAGAATGAGAGACCTGGTAATCTGCTCCCATAAAGATTACAGCCTAGGAAACCCTGTGGGGGCAGTTCTACTCTGTCATATACGGTTCCTATGAGTTGGAATTGACTCAATGGCACACAACAACAAAGTTAGCTGTAGAAAATACTGTTGCTGCATCTTTAATGCTGACACGTATTGCCTAAGAGAGTCAAATGTGGAATGTAATCTGATCCAAGTTCACTCAGGGTGACAGAGTTGGAGCTATAAAGCCAAGATCTTTTATTTCTGTCCCCCACCATACAGTTTTCCAAATATTTTCTGTGTTTGTCAGTAATTTGCCAGAATTTAATGCCCTGATGACTCGTTTGTCAAAATTTAAAACTTAAGATAGTGTCAGAATAAAAACAAATGAAATTTAAAGGCTAAATCACACGTGGCATTTTGTTTTGGCAGAATCTCTATACCAGTATGAGAGCAGACTGGGCAGCATTCTTCTTCAGGTGTAAATGTTTCAGGGCACGTCTGAGGGTGGCACACGGTTTCATCACAAAGCAATCTTCCGTTCAAGCAGAGGCAAGTAGTACAAGGTTCAGGAGACCATACAGCTTTGTTGTACATGACCATCCCCTTGAACAAGCAGTGCCCCTTTTTTCCTAGAAGAGCACAAATAACACACGGAATACATTAAATTGCTTATGTGAGTTTCAGCGGTTGTGAATAGAAATGAGCACAATATGAAGTCAAACTGACATAACCACACAAGAAGTGTGCTCTTTGCGTGTTCACACATAGGATAGAAGTGCCTTATATAAGGAACCTTCTGAAATGCCTCTCACACACATCTCCTTTCTACCCCTCTCATAAGAATGACTGCCTCTTGGTAACTGGACTCTGTGAATTCCACTTCCATCTTGTATCAGTCAAGGTAGATGAAGTTATAAAACAGCAACAAACAACTCCCAAATCTCAGTTTATTTCTTATTCTCACTTCATGTCCAAGGTGGGAGCACAGGGGCTCTGCTCATTGTAGTCACCCAGAGACCTCGACAACAGGTTTCATCACAAAGCAAGCTACCCTAAATCCTGCAGCAGTGGGAATGAGAGGATGCAAACCACATAAGTGCTCTAAAGTGGCTTGTTTTATCGGCTAAGGCAAATTATATGGCCACATGAATTTCAGAAGGGGCACAGCATGCAGTTCTATCAGTGCCCAGAGCAGCAAGCTGGGACAGCACCAATGACGAGCCCACACCTCACTACTCTCCATGTGCAGATAGGGGAGGGGACCATACAACATGTTTCTGTGGCACTTCTGACATTGACTTCTCAATGAGATATTGCAACTGCATCTTCTTTTAGGGCTTTTATTATTATTTTACTGAAATATAATTTGCATACCATAATATCCACTTTTTTAAAGTGTGCAATGCAGTGTCTTTTAGCATATTCACTTCTGTACATACAGGGTTGTAGATAAAAATACATGCCTCTGGGACTGTGGATATGTGTATCAACTAAGCAGGCTGTCAGAGAGCAAGGAGCATATCAGATGGATATTTTCCTTCTACCCCAGGTGTCAGTCCTGATAACTCTCCTCCATCTGACAAGCCACTGTCTCCAAATTCCATCCCCAAATGAGCTCTCACGTTTGTCTCCTTCTTTCCCTCACCACTGTCTCAGCCCAGTTCAGGCTCTACCTATCTCTTATTTGGATACTTGCAATGGACTAACCCCACCCACCTACACCTTACTCCATCACCTCCAGAAAAAAAGTATATATAAGTTTTTTCCTGTCTATAAAAGTACTATACCCTATCAAAATTCCAACAGCCTTTTTTGCAAATAGAAAAGCTGATGCTTAAATTCATATGGAATTGCAAGGGACTCCAAATAGCCAAAACAATCTTGAAAAAGAAGACCAAAACTACAGTACGAAACTACAGTATTACAAAACTACAGTAATCAAAACAGTGTGGTACTGGCATAAGAATAGACATACAGATCAATGGAATAGAATTGAGAGTCCAGAAATAAACCCATACATCTCTGGCCAGTTGATTTTCAACAAGGGTGCTAAATCCATTCAGTGGAGAAAGAACAGTCTCTTAAATAAATGGTGCTGGAACAATTAGATTTCCACATACAGAAGAATGAAGTTGGACCCTTAACTCCTACCATATATAAAAATTAACCAAAAATGGATCAGCAACCTAAATAAAAGAGCTAGAACTATAGAAAGGATACATATTCTATTACCTAATTTATATGAAATATCCAGAGTAGGCAAATCCATAGAGACAGAAAGCAGATTGGTGGTTGCCAGGGGCTGGGAGGAGGAGGGAATGGGGAGTGACAGCTTAATGGGTACAGGTTTTCTTTTGGGGAGATGAAAATGGTTGCAGACTAGATGGTGGTGATGGTTGTACAACATTGTGAATGTACTAAATGCCATTGAATTGGACACTTTAATGGTAAATTTTATGTTATGTGTATTTTGCCAGTTAGAAAAAAAGTAGTATGGAACCATTGGAAAGCATTTTTAGACAATTCAGAAATGTTTAGTATACATCCTCTAACTTTTTACACATACCACTTATATTACATAATTTTTCTATGTTTTAAACAGATTTGAGATCATATTTTGCACAGTAGTTTTCAGCCTTTTTATTTTCTATTATTATAGCTAGGACATCTTTCCACTTAACTAGGGAAATCGACCTCATCGTTTTCTAGCAGCTATGTGTACGCTATTATAATATCTTTTATAATATCTTTTAAACTGATTTCTCTGCCTCCATATTCTCTTTCCCCACTCATGCTGTAAATGTCTCCTAAACTGCTTATTTTTATACTGTATGCTATTCTTGTTAATTTGGGGGAAGTAATATCATTCAGAAGCATTTAGTTTTGTTGAGATAATGTATGAAACTATTGGCCACAGAATATTATATAGTGATATTTTCTTTTGTCTTTTGAAGTTTTATTTAACGACAACCTATCTATAATATAAATTGCTGTTTTCTGCCAAACCTGGAAAAACATGGACCATTAAATACTGGTTTTTTTAAAAAAGCCTAGTTAAAATCTTTGACAGAAACTTTAGAAATTCTGTACAAGTAGCCCCCAACTTACGATGTATTCCAGTTACGACCAACCACATTTACTACTATCTGGTTTTTTTGGGTACATCTTATCGTTAGAAATATGTACTACATGCAGTGTTGCAACGTGTAACTTGCTGATGTTATCATTTCATTCTCAGATATTTACTCGAAGATGTTCAATGTTATGATTTACTGTTCAAAATGCTGCCATATAGCAGGCTATGAAAACTCAAAAAAAAAAGGTATTCGGCTTATGTCAGAACCAACTTATGACAGTCATCAGAACAGAACCCCATCATAAGTTGGGGACTACCTGTTGTTTATTCTGTATAAAATCAATTCAGTGGTTTGAACTCCATTTTTGGTTTAAAAAATTTCTACAGTATGAATAAGAAATAAAAGTGAAAGGTCATGACAAAGCTCTCTGCTGAAATGAGACTATATTTACTTATATTTTGTTTAGATGCATGTATTCATTTCTTGATGAAGAACTGAAACAAAAAGATAAATTTAAAATTACTATTTTAATACTACAGCCAAAAAGACTTTTCAAAAATCTAATATATTTATAGGCATTGACTGTGTAATGAGAGTATAAAAATGAGAATTTAAAGTGTAAAAATGAGAGTATAAATTAATTTTAGTAATGGACTAGACTTCTAAACATACTTGAATTCATTCAGCTTTTTGTGCTGGTCTCTTTCTGTCATCCTTTCCTGTACTCCCACTAGGCTAAATTTGGTGTGAATGTTCCTATGTTCTCTAGCTCTCTAGGAAACAGCCAAACTCCCAAGCTCATGCATCTGGGGCCTTAATATTACCCAAAGAAAGAATTGTAAGAGAAGAAGATAAAGCATAGAAAAGGGAAAGCAAAATTAAGAGACCAGTAGATAAATAGGAAATGGGGAAATTGGAGAACAAGGAGGGAAAAGGAAGAGGTGGGGAAAAACTGCAAGGAAAGTTTAAATGAAAGGCTATGTTTAATAGCCATGTATTCATAGAACATCCAAATAATTTATCTCTGTACTTTAGATCTATCATTATAAATGAGAAAGCAATTTAAAAAGTTATATGTATACTATGATTAATAAACCAAAATGGTAACTGTGGTTTTATAAGAACAGTCATAGGATAAGTAATTTTTTTCTTTTTCCAATAGTTTTGTATTATAAGCATTGTTCCTTAAATCATTCTTTAAATTATTTTAAAAGTTACCTTTATAGATGAAACAAATTGTAATAGCCTGGAGTTGTTTGTTTGCTTTTTCTTTTCTTTTTCTTTTGCGAATTATCCACATGGAGGTTCTCTCTTCTCTCTCACACACACTCATACTTTTTTCTTACCTGGTAACACATTATAGCTTGATTCTTCTTCAATAAAACTTGAGAAGGATTCAAATTTTTCCTCCGTACTATAACCCAAGTTAGCAATGGGAAGTCTTGCTGCTGGTGTAACAATATTTGTTTGCTGTACCCTAAGCTGTCTGTTTGACCTGTGGTTGGCTGAAGAGCTTTTCCTTAATCTTCGGTAATACATCTTTCTTCTTTGCTTCCTAGGAGTTTCTTTATTTTGTCCAAAATCAATGTGAAAAGTAACAAGCAGAAAAAAAGAAAACAAAACTGCAAACTTCATGTTTGATTTGTCACCAGCCAATTTCTAGAATGAGAATGAAACACAATTTCGAGGTTAGTGGTAACTAAGTTTTTGCCTCTGAAATTGACTTATAGTTGCTGGTATGACTTGGTAAGCAAGTCTTTGAAAAATCACGCATATATGATAGATGGGCTATCTGCTGTAGTAGAAAAAACAGAATTTGGGATGTTTCAATCAGAATCAAAAAACTTTTGATATCTTTACTTCTAGATCAGGAGCCAGCAAACTTTTTTTTATCAAGTACCTGATAGTATATATTTTAGGCTTTGTGGGCTGTATGTTCTCTGTCACAACTATTCAGTTCTACTCTTGTAATGCAGAAGCAGCCACAGACAATATGTGAACAAATGAGTGTGGCTATGTTCCAATAAAACTCTATTTACAAAAACAGGCAGTGGGTTGGAATTGGCCCGTGGGCCGTAATATGCTGACCTGTCTCTGGACCACTGCATGGTAGGTTTTCAGAGATTAACCAGGAGATTACTCTCCACCTGTCTAAAATTTGTTCTGTGACTAGCATCATCTACAGCCCATCTTTCTAGCTCTTCTATTTTGTTTGTTTATTCTCTAACTTTATAATGTTTTGCTTTTTTTTCGGGAGGGGGCATGATTGTACCATATTAAAATAACAGTAAACTAGCATCAATTATAAAGAGACATGAAGAATAACTTAATCAGCTGATCTCAAGGGCAGCACAGAGCCCTGCACATGACACGCTGAAAAAAGTATTTTAGAAATGAAAATTTAGTTACTCTTGGTGATAAAGACCAAGTGCAATAGTAGCATTGTGGTCAGACAGCCTGGTCCAATATAAAATTAGGGTGTCAGGGGTTGGAGTCAAAGGATTTACACACCAAACCTCTCTTGACCTACACTTAGTGCTGCAAAGGGAGGTTTCGGCAGTTTCATTGCCTCTTAGAGCTTTAGCAGCTTAAGGCCTACCTTGGTCAATGTCCTCACTCTCACCCCACCTGGTCATCTTTTCTTTCACTGCTCCCTACTTAGGCTCCCTCACCGTCAATATTCTCTGGGACAGAAGGCCTTCTCTACACAGTTAGGGAGTGTGAAGGAGACTCTGAAACCCCATGCATTTTAAGGACCCAGGATTGCAAAAGCTTTGCTGCTGTCATCTTTTAATGAGAATTTAAGGTATTTGGTAGTCCTATAAGGTTCGTTAAAACATCAGTTTTGCTCAGCAATAACGTTTATCCCAGTTTTTACAGGCCTTCCTCCATAGACCAGAATAAAACTATGTTCCACAAATATTGACACTAACTGGTGATGGACAGGAATGGTAAAAGGTTCAGAGTGATGTTACATATAGAGATTAAAACCCTAAATTACAAAGAATGGGCATTGAAGGAAGGATCAAGGGGTAACAAGTAGCCATAGACTCTATCAATTAAACCATCTTGTTGAGACCTTAAGAAATAGCTGAGAGGCCTTCTAAGCATCTGACCTAACCTTTCTATTTGTCCAAATACAGTAATCTGCTGATATCCATACACCACTCTCTTAGAGATCTACTTCAAAACCTAGAGGTAAGCTGTGGGAAATTCTGAGGAGTCTGAGTGGAAATCCATGTGCCAAACCAAACTGTGAAGTCTGAAATAGACTGAGGATAAAGCAAATATGGTGACCTTGTCTCAGTGGAGGCCTATAATGGTTGTAACAAACACAGGGTTGCCACCCAGGGTCCTTTGCCTAGGTACAAATGTCACTAACTGACCTATTTTCGATATTTTGTCAAGATGTCCTGCTTATTTTTGGATTATACTGTTATTATACACTCTTTGCTATTCTGTTCTTTATAGGGATTATGACATGTATCCTTGACTTGTCAATGTCTAATATGTCTAATATAAATTAGTACCTTTGCCTCTTCCTGGACAATGCAAGGATCAGGACTAACTTTAACTTCCGTTATACCATCCCAGCATATATGGTTGTTTTTGTTTTTTTTTCCTATGTATTTTAATTCTGTATATATTCATATAAAATATATCTTAAACCTTCAAAAGATTATTATTATCATTTTATATTCAAAAGCTTTTTAAATCAGGCTTTTTCTCAACCTCAGCACTATTACAATTTGGGGCTGGATAATTCTTTGTTGTGGGGGCTTTCTTGTGTATTATAGGATATTTAACAGCACTTCTGGCCTCTACCCACTAGATGCCACTAGCACCTTCCCCCTAGTTGTGACAACCAAAAATGCCAGACAGTGCCAAATATCCCTGGGGGGAAAAGTCACCCCTCCTCAACTGGGAACCACTGATATAGATTTACCCAAACATTTACCCTTTTTCTTTCTCCTCATTCCTTACTGCATCTCCAATCTTCTATCTAAATCATTTTCTCTCAGGTTAAAGAACACCTTCTAGTAATTCCCTTAGTGTAGGTCTACTACCATATTTTTACACAAATAGCATGCACCTTCTATGTTTATTTGCCAACCGCATCCTCCCCCGGCGAGGTATTTTTGTAAGCAAGCTAAGCTAACGGTAAAATGTAAAAAAAAAAAAATTGGCATATTATCATTTAGAAAATGTCTCGTGGCGGGAGGGCATGGTTGGCAAACAAACATAGAAGGTGCACATTATTTGTGTAAAAATGCAGTAGTTGCTGGTTCTGTGATTTTATTTGTCTGAAAATGTTTGTATTTCACCTCTTTTCTGAAAGGATATATTTGCTGGATATAGAATTCTACATTGACAGGTGTTTTCAGCATTTTGAAGATATAATTTCAATGTCTTTGTTTCCATTGTTTCTATTAAGAAGTCCTCTTTCAATCTAGTTATTTCTCCTTTAAATGTACCTTTTTTTTTTCTTCTGACTGTTAAGGCATTTTTTTGTCTTTGGTTTTTAGCTGTTTTACTCTGATATACCTAGTTGTGGTATTCTTGTTTTTATCCTGTTTGGGGTTCAGAATCCTTGAATCTATGGCCTGATGCTGTTCATCAAATTTGGAAACTTCTCAGCCATTATCTTTTTAAACTGTGCTTTCCCCTTCTCTCTCTCTTTCTTTTTAGAACTACGATTACAGGTATAATAAATAGACTTCTCATTATGCCTTTGATGTCTCTTTCCCTCTATTTTTGTATTCTCCCTCCTTCTGTCATTCCATGATTCATCCTGGTTATTCTTGTTCACCTTTCTTCCAGTTCATTCTCTCATCAGCTGTGCTTTATCTGCTATTACCCTACTTTTACGCAAGTAACACACGCCTTCTATGTTTGCTTGCCAATCACTCCTTCCCACTGCGAGGTATTTTCCTAAGTGTGCTATGTTAATTTTTTACAGCAATGTGTAAAAAAAAGTTAGCATAGGAGTGCTTATGAAAATACGTCGTCGGGGGGAGGGCGCAGGTAGCAAACAAACACAGAAGGTGTACATTATTTGCATTAAAATACAGTAAACCCATCTATTGACTTCCTTATTTCTATTATTGCATTTTTTAGTTTTAGAGGTTTTAGTGGCTCTGTTTTATAGTTTCGGATTCTCTGCTGAAATTCTCGATCTCATACTTTATTTTCTTGAACACATTAACCACATTTATTTTAAAGTCTGTATCTAAAGACTCCATATTCTGGATCCTCTGTGGGTTTACTTCTATTGTCTGTTATTGCTTTAGGTTTTTGGCCATGTTGTTCTGGCTCTTTATATGCCTGGTTACTTTTGATTGAGTGTCATACATTGTATTTGAAAAATAATGAAAATACTTTGAGACCTAGATTGATGTTTTTTTTAATCCAAAAAGAATTTACATCTGCTTTGGGCATGAGGTTAAGGGCACAAGAAACCATAGACTGAGTGTTTTGAAGCAGGACTTTACTATATTCAGTTAATACTTACACCGTGGATTCCACCACAAAGCCTGATGATTTCACCAGCACTACTCTTCCCCTCCTCCTTCCCACTCCTTGCTTGGCCCTAATTCTCATTTTTTGGTTTCTCTCTAGCCTTGTAAGGCTGTTTTAAAGCTCTACTAAGCTTCTCAGCTGCCTCTTCTGCAATCCATAGATGTTTCCAGAAGAAAAGTTGTTCCAAACCTCCCTGGGTTTCCTTCTTATCCCAAATATAGACCAACTTTTTAAATTATTCTTCGCAGGTGGATTGGTCTGAATTCCTACACTGCCATCATCAGAAGCGGAAGTTCCCTCAAATTCATTTTACTTCTTGCTGAAATGTATCATCTTTCTCTCAGAATGTATTTAGGGTTGTAAAATTTTTAACATCTTGTACGTATGTCTGAAAATGTTATTCTGTTTAGGTGGAAATAGAACTATAGTTTCAAAATAATTTTCCTTGAATACTTTATTGACATTGTTTCATTATATTGTTACATCTAGTGTTTCTCATGAAAAGTTTTATTTGAACTAATTCTCATTCCTTTGTAGGAAATCTTTTTCTCTCTCTTTGAAAGTTTTTCAGATTTTCAATTTATCTTTCATATTCAGAAGTTTTACTATAATTTACTTATCTATGGGGGTTTTTTGTTTGTTTTTGTTTTTTAATTTATCCTTCTTGGAATCTTTTAATCTGAAGGCTTCTTTCTTTTCCACACAAGCTCTCTTACACTCAGTTCTCTCCGTGCCTATTCAAGGCTGTATTTTCCCTCTTTAAGTTCATTCCCATCTTCTCTCCGTCTTTCAGAGACTTCTCACAGTTTCTGTCCTGCCAGGAGTTCCCCTTCTTATTTCCTAGTGCAGCTATTTATTCAAGTATATGTTAGTTTGTAACATATTTTCTGTTATTTCTAGGGATTTGATGAGAGAGGAGAGGCTATGTTTCCTGCTCCATTTGCCCTCTTGAATTTCAATAATTCTTTTTATAACTTCACTCACCATAATCATCTTCTTCTATTAGATTTCCTTTGATAATATTCCAGCTTTCTACCACTTTACCTTATCTCAACAAATAGCAGTCTCTAAGGTATCCTCATGTCAGCTAACTTCAACATACAAACTTATGTTCAGTATCTATGTACATTAATTACAGTAGTCATTTCAAAACTCTTGCTGTATATCATTGAAATGAAACTATATTAGAACATTTTTTTGTAGTCTGGTTTTAGAAAAACTAACATGCAAAGTCTAAGAAAGGAGCCAGTCCCGTAGCTGACTGGCAGCTGAAATTGTAAAAGTCAATTCAGAGAACAAATTAGTATGTTGGAAAGGAATGGCAATAACAGGAGGGGGAAGCAATACGAAAAATTAAACTGTGAGTCAGGGTAGAACTAGGATGCTGAGTGACCAGGGAAGTGGGCTCTGATGAAGAGCATAAATGTTCTGTGTAGCATAAAATATGTATATTGAAATTTTCTTGCTTTGAGAATTATAAGTGCAGACTCTTAGCCCTGACATGGGTGAGAGTTGTGAGGAGCCAGGCCCTAGACCACAAGGGCTCTGGGCGTAAACTCCCAGGAGGAGCTCAGGCATCCTGTTGTCCCCAGGCCTCATCTCACCATTCGCTTGCCAGGGCCGTGCCTGAGGGAGTGGATAGGAGAGAGTATGCCAGGTGTTGCCAGGCTGAGGGTAGACAACCCCTTCTCTCTTTATCCACATCCTGGGAACCATCTCCCTTAATCTTTCTTTTTTAATTTTCCCAAAATGGGCCTACTTTTACTTATCCTTAATTTTTACAGAATCAGTACTTAAATAGTCTCATTGAGATGTTTAAATAATGTTTAAAATGACCTCTCAATGCTAATATTACACTTGTTGCTGAGACTTCATTATTTTCAGTGATTTATAGAATTTTATATTGTATTTAATATTTAGTCTAATAAGGAACTTTGTAAAGCTATTGAGTACGTTTCTAGTGATAAAATTTAATAGCACTCAATTATAGTAGGCTTCATTTTGATCAAGTAAATTTTTTCTTTCTAATACTAATTTTGTTCACCTCAACATTAAATACTATCTATAAACCTTGATTAACTTATTATTTTTCTCCATTTGAAGTTTTTCATCATCTTTTTAGTAAGCTTTAAAAATACTAAATTTAGAAATTTAAACTTTCACACAAAGCCATAGTGTGACTTTTTACTTCACTCAACAAGTTTAAAAAGAAAAACATTTTCAGCTGATCCTTGGTGTTGTTTTAAGACTTAAAAATAAAGAAGGAATAAAATTTTCAAACCAATTTGTACTTCTATTAAGTACTGAATTCTATCTAGACATAAAAAGAACTTTATATCTAATTTTGTAAAGTTCGAAATATTGGGTAGTATTCATCCTGAAACAAACAAGTAAATGCAATAATGCTTACTTTAAACTTTAAAACTCTATTAGTAAAGAGCTAATTTCCTAAATTTTTAAACATATTTGCAACATAAAACACCCAGATATTAAAACCATTCCACATGCTTTAGTAGAAACTTAAAATTAAAAAAAAATTTTACCTGGAAATCTAAACTAAGTAGACTGTGCTTGGTGCCATTTAAGTCCAGCTGAAAATGAAACAAAATCAGAGCTTTCTTTAAAACAAAGAGAGCAACGGAAGGGGATGTTGAAAAATATTAACTGACTTCTTAGTAAAATCTAAAATAACTGTTTCCCTTGGGGATAAATGCCTTTCAGTTCTTTGTATGGAAAGTCAGCCAAGAAAGTAACCAGGGAAAATGGTTACCAAGGGAAATGTTTTTAAAAATCCCAGGAAAAGTGCAAAGCAGCGAGCAACAGCAGCAGCAAAATAGTCTACAGGCTCAAAAGGCAAAGTTGGAAGCACAAAATGCAGCTTGATTAAGAAATGTTTCATTTTCATAGATCATTTGCATTGAAAACTCTTAAAATAAAAATAAAAACTTCTATTCACCAAAAGACTTTACCAAAAAAGTGAAAAGACAAGCTACCAACTGGGAGGATATCTTTAGAAGCCATATATCTATCCGACAAGAACCTAAAAACAAATGTATATAAAACTTCGACAACTTAACAACAAAAAGACAAATAATCCGATCATGAAATAGGCAAAGGACTAGAATAGACATTTCACCAAAGAGGACATTCAAATGGCCACCAAATACATGAAAAGATGCTCAGCGTCATTAGCCATCAGAGAGATGCAAATCA